TGAGCGTTTGATCAGGTCAGTCAAGAACTCTTTGAAGAAAGCCATCGGACGACGAATCCTGACAGAAGAAGAGTTAGTGACTCTTCACTGAGGTGGAAGCAATCATCAATTCTCGACCATTGACCTACGCGTACAGTGAAGCGCAAGAGCCTCAGCCACTATCACCGTCGCACTTCACGACATGGAAAAGACTTACGTCGTTACCAAAACCGGTCCGGCTCCGACTTGCAAAACGGAGACGCAGAATCGCTGCGGAGGCTCTGGAAACTCAGAGAAGACTTCCTGAAAGAGTTCTGGCAACGATGGTCAAAGGAGTACCTAACGGAACTCCGATCACTGTACAAGACAAGGAGGTCAAACCGACATCTCAAAGTTGGGGACCTGGTTATTCTTCACGAGAGCCAGCAACCACGCCAGCTCTGGAAGATGGGAGTTGTGAAAACATTGTTTTCCGGAAGAGACGGAAGAGTACGAGTCTGCGAGATCCGACCTCCCGCTGGTGCGGTTGTAAAACGACCAATACAACTTGTGTACGGGCTAGAAAGTGGTTAAAAATGAACTTTGTTCCCTTTCGGGGGGTGGATGAAGAAACCCTTCAGCGGAGCGGAAAAGAAGACGAGGAGGTTCGCGGACTGGGCCCGAGCGCGAGCTACAATTTCTATCGGGGATTTTCGTTCGGAACTGGGAAGTGTGAGTAACGCAGCTACCGGTGACTAAAGTAGTGTTTTTTCTTGTAGTCATCAACGCTTCGGCTCAATGGTTTCGACAGTACCATCGATAGTCGACTATCAAAAAACCATCGATAGTCGATCATCGAAAAACTATCGATAGTACCATCGATAGCACTATCCATTGTCGACTTTCCGAAAATTATCGTTAATCGACTATCGCAAAACAATCGATAATAGACTATCGTAAACCTATCGATAGTACTGTCGACGGTTTACTACCGATAGTTTTGCGAAACTTGTAGTTTGCGTCGCTCCCTCTTCTCGTTTTCCCGCTTTATTTTTTTCAAATGGGACACCAACTAGCCCAAGCACTAACGATCCCAACTTTGGTTCAGCTTTCAGTGATGACGAAGACGGGAGTTTGGGCGAAGAGAGGAGGAAGGGAGTGGGGCGGCAACTGTGCTCTACCTCATTGTTGCAAACCTAAACTATCCGGTAGCCCGCTTAATCTGGCTGAACCTCGAAGACAAGCAGGCAAAGAGGGACCCGCTCGCCGTAAGCACCACTTGATAGACCCGTGCGCAGGTCAAAAATTGACGGCGGCAGCGCGCAGGAGTGTTCCCTTCCGGCGGCGGCGTGGAGGAAAGACACTAAGTAATGATGATCATAATGACTTTTTCCAATTTTTTAGAGCGCAGCTCTTGGGCACCCGTTTCCGGCTTGAGCGGCGTCACCGTTGGCGTCGGCGTCACCGTCGGCGTCACCGTCGGCGTAACCGCGCGGTGCATTATGAGACGCGCGACGTCACTGATGACGTCATCAGTGACGTCACTCATGACGGCATCGTCATTTTCACTGATGACGTCATTGATGACGTCATCGACATCGGCATCGTCACTGATGACGTCATCGACATCCGCATCGTCATCGTCACTGATGACGTCACTAGCGATGATGCCGTCATCAGTGACGTCACTGATGACGTCATCGTCATTGTCACGTGAGCTCATAGGGGTCGCGTTACCCCCGTGAGGTCACGTGACCCCGGTGAGGTCAAGTGACCCCCTTGAGGTTACGTGACCCTCGTGAGGCGACGACGACGCCACTCGGAGGGAGGAGTAGCAGACAGGGTGAGGAGGTGAGGAGGAGGGAGGAAGGATATACCCTCCCCTCAGTACCCTTCCCTTCCTCCTCCTCAAGAGCTGCGCTTTAATTCGACGTTACAGGAAGTTGTAAACGGCTTTCATTTTTTTTTTCTTCGACTAGGTAAACCCGTAAAAAGATAGTTTTTACATTATTTTACAGCGGAGTTGTTAAGGGCTTGTTTCGCCAGTATAGTGTCCATCAGTAAACAAATGATGACACGAAACTCTGGACAGCTACCGCCGTCGCTCATAGATGGCGCAACCTTTCCAGCCTTTCCACTCTGGCTTGCCGACTTGCGGCCGGCCATTACATCATTCCCACCATAGTACAGCTTCGCTGGTCTTCCTTTTTCACCAAAGTGCAAAAGCTGAAATTTTTTTTTCAATATGCATTTTCTGTTTTCCGTATAAAGGAAAAAAAAAACGCTTTCCGCCGGCGGTGTACTACACTCAGCGTGATGCGGCAGTGAAGTCTCCGCCGCCTCACCCTGAGCCGGAGCCGTTCAGCGCCGGCGCTCAACGGCTCCGGCGTAACTTGCAGCGACGGCCTCGTAGTGGCGCACATGTCTATCACGTGACTATCGGCCAGTCACGTAACGCTATACTCGGCGACGACTTTTCTTGGCAATGCAGTGGAGGGTGCAGGCCCGCGCGTTCCCTCTCCCATTTTGAGTGCTGAATAAAGCTGTGCGCGGGCTCTCTACATCTCCACTACATAGCCAAGAGAAGTTTTCGCCGTTCATACACCAACTCATGTTTACAAACAAACTGGAGCGCCTCTAGCGGACGCCACCGGCGCCGCGCATGCGCGATGGGGGTGTGGGCAAGAAGCTCGCCGTCGCCCATAAACAAGGCGGTGAAATGCGATGTTGTCGGCGTCGGTGCGAGTCCCCCTGCCCCTTTTCGCGTTCGAATTGTTGATTCTACGTCTACCTGGCGATGTCTGACTACTTTAGCGGCGTCAGCGAAATTACCGAGGCTCGCTACACCGCAAAACTTCGCCTGAATAGTATGACATGCAGCGATTCATTCTGCGTGGACGCCGCAGTATGTACGCTAAAGCCTGATTCGCATGATGAGATTTCGCTCGCCATTTTCAGTCGCGACGCCGCTCGGGCTGCAAAAGCGCAAAAGCGTGAACCGCAGCTGAGATGGTCGACGTCGATACTGAAAATCGCAAGCAGAATCGGACCAAGTGAATTAGGCATAGCAAGTCTGTGATGGTCACTGGTAACAATGATGAACATCTCCTTGTATCTACTGTTTACATCGAGCCTGCTTACCAACCTTCAAACTTTAGTCTTTTGAGGCCTGCACTTACTTCTTATCTCTAGTACTGGGCCAACATTTGGTTTAAAATTCGGCGTCGTCTAAGAGAGCAGACGACAAGCAGAAACGTTTGAAGGTAAACGTTCGGCAGCCCTCTGCCTGGTTAGGAGTAGACATGAAGCGAAAAATAGGGACTCAAACCAAAACTTTAATAAACATTTACCCGACGTTTCGGGACCAGTTCGGTTCCTTGTTCAGGAGTGAACAAGGGACCGAACTGGTCCCGAAACGTTGGGTAAATGTTTAGCAGAAACGTTTGAAAGAGCAGACGACAGTTCAAACGATCAGGCGGTCGTTTGAACTTGAAGACGCACTGAACGTAGTACGCAGGTGGTCCGCACAACTTGACGGCTTTGTTGCGTTCATGTTGGAACAAAACAAATAAATCTGATGACCATAAGTATCCGTGAATTCAACCTAAAGTGCTTCCCGCCCAAGCAATCGTTGCCTGACGGCGTCTGCTTTTCCCTTTTCACGGCACATATCCAGGTTCTCGGACGAACCGAGCACGTGAAAACTGACCTTCAAACCTTTCTCAACTCTTTGGGTACGGCCCCATGCGCGGCGTTTTGACGAGAAGGAAGGTTTTTGCCTGGTTTGCGCCGTGACGTCACAGAGTTGAGTTCGTGTATACACGAACTCAACTCTGTGACCTCACGGCTCGGACATACTTGTCCTTGTGTGAGCCTGTGCTAGGCTCACACAAGGACAAGTATGGCCGAGAGATAATCGAAGCATTTAGGATCAAAACTGCCACAGACAATGTTTCCGAGCCCTCGTTGTCGTTATCGACATCAGAGAGAGATTTCCTAGCGCCGGAATTGTCATAGAAAACATCGCCCCCAGTTTCTTCTTCTTCTTCCTTTTCAGGAAGTCAAATACAGCTATCTTTACTTTTGTCTTTTTCTAGTATCTTCTTGTATTTTCGTCTTCACTTAATTTTCTCTGTGACCAAAGCGGTTCATCATAGTGTAATGGGCATCATTTAAATGTAGTTGCTCGTTGAAAGAACTGTGTGTGTCTGTCCCCCGTATATTTTCTGTGTTTTTATTCTTTCCGTGGGAACTGAATCGCCAGGAAGACTTAGATTCAACAATTCGAACGCGAAAAATGGCAGGGGGACTCACACCGACGCCGACGACATCGCATTTTAATGGTTTGTTTATGGGCGACGGCGAGCCTCTTAAGCGGGTTTCACATGCAGCGATTTTGGCCCTAAAGCGGCGCGATTTCTGCCGTCGCGGCGCTCGTGCCGCAGAATTGCTGGTGCTGGCCAGAGCGCCGCGACGGCAGAAATCGCGCCGCTCTAGGGCCAAAACCGCTGCATGTGAACTATTACCCACACCCCCATCGCGCATGCGCGGCGCCGGTGGCGTCCGCTAGGGGCGCTCCGGTTTGTTTGTAAACATGAGCGGAATCCCGCGGGCGCCAACTACAAATTTGTTTCGCCCCATAAATATAGCTCTAAACGTTTTCTTTTTTTTTTTCTTTTGTAAATTCATTTTAATCGATTTTTATTCTATCCAGGATGTTCAAAAAAATTTTCCGTACCATATGTTTCTTTTTTAAATAGCAGGTTAGCTTAATAGAACACCTAATCCAGTGTAGTCCTATCTAGAATGCAGACGGACATGTCAAATCTGGACTGTTTCATACGGGCGATAAAGGCAGGAGACGATGTTTGAATAAGTTTAGTTTGCTTTCGAACCACCTTCGTCTGCGCCCGCATCAGACGCACAAGAGCTATATGTACAAGCCGCTCCAAAGCTACGAGCTTATAGCGCCAATTATCTAGTAAGTGCATAATTCAGGCAACACAAAATTAGAATGCTCTCACGAGACCTGGCCTTCCTACCTTGAGCATGGAGGTAAAACATGGATCCATACAGTTGAAGTATTTTGGCTAAAAGGGGAAAAGAAAAAAAAATCTGTTATTGTCATGACAGCCGTTCTCGCCCTATCTACACGAATCATCGAGGAAATGAAACCAGGTTTTTGGACCCTCATAAATGAACTACGTATTGCGGAAAGCTGAAACTCCGTGAGAATGTGACGCTAGCAGTGGTGATAAAATGCGAAAGTTTGAGCGTATGACATTACGTAGAAAAAAAAAATGTTGCAATGAGCCGACGTTTACCTAAGCCTAATATACATAAATTCAACATTTGGGATTGTGGGCGCCTCTAAACATTGACAGTGAAGAAGCTTGCCAGCAAGAAGGAAAACAATATCGTCTTTCTAAATGGCAAGTTTATTTGTTCTGCTTTTTCACTGAAATAAATGCTGTAGGAGCCCCCAATCTCAAATTTCCATCGGAGGAATATTAGGATTAGAAGGGCTTCGGCTCATAGACAAGTTTTGCTTTTCATTTGTATATTTTGATCCGGGTCCTGCGCTCTAACTTTCGCCTTTTATCACCACCGCTATAGCATCAGGTTCTAATGGAGTTTCAGATTTCTGCAATGCGTAGTTTATTTATGTGGCCGACAGACCGAGTTTCATTTTCTCGATCTAGCCCTTTATAAAGCAACTGACACATCAACGAGAAAACTGCCGACACGACGTACGCGTCGCTATGGATGTGGGTAAGATCATGATCTACGGTGTGCAAGTGGCGGACCGACATCCTACAGGGTTTTGCAACAAGTCGCAACTAATATCCAGACATGTGCACCTTGCTGGAATAGAGTTTCTCTACTCAACAAAGTAACTAGTGTTTTATTCCTTGTGGCTATTTAAAAGGAACACGTTAACTCAGCTTAGGCTAACTCGATATTTTCTTGACACTCCGATTCTGTCGTCCATATTAAACAGCAGCCACTTCCTATATTTGTCGCCGTCAGTAATTCCTCGCTTTTCAAGGTGTTTATTCAGGGATAACAGAGGTTATACGAAAATACCACGAGCACATCTCTGCAAGTGCTATCAAGCATTACAAGCGCGAGCATTTGGGAGCGAGAGGTTGGAAAAAACAAAACAAAAAACTAGGTACGATTTGTAGCACGTTATATGCAAGTCTTCCCATGTCCCACGTTTGCATGGTCGCGCATGTGCCTAATCCAGGCGGGGTCAGAATGACATTTTTAGAGCCGCGCACAAATCTACAAAAGTTCAGAGAGCCGCAGGAGAGCAAAACAAGAGGGAGAGGGGGGGGGGAAGCTCCTTTTAAGAAGAAACGATATGGAGGGAAGGGCCCTTTCCAAACGGGAGAAGTATAATTGTCGGCTACAACAAATAACGCCAGGCAGCGGAATGTTTCTTCAACCGCTAAGCCAATAATGAATACATGGTTTGCTAGCCAGCCACGGCCCCTGACGCCGGCTATGCAAACACGGTTTGAAATTCATTCTAGAACAATACGGGAAACAGGGTCACTGGACTTATATATGTGTGAAAACGCAGTCCAGCTGTGTGTGCGTAGTGTAGTACGAAGCTATAAAGGCTGTTATGGTTTTTTCGTTTCATTTTTTTTTAATTCTAGAACTTTTTTTTGCGTTTCTTTTTATTTTGTTTTGAGACACAGGAGGGGAAGGGGGGGGGGGGGGGCACACTTCTCGGGCGCCGGGAGTTGCATTTGCACCCGCGAATAGTCGCATGTGGCTCGCGAGCACCAGTTTGGTCACCCCTGGTCGATTCCTTAACGCACTAAGTGTGCTCTTGCGATCAGTTTCCGGCAGAACACATCGGGGACAGTAGCAGTTCCGTCGTTTGCGGCGCGGGAACGCATGCGGAGGTGTCTCACCTTGGAGAAGCTCGAAATGGGCGTCAAGTTCGGGATCTGCAAAAAGGGGAAGCACAAGTCAAGGCTTAGGTTCGAGCTTCTCGTCATGACCAATTCAATGCGAAAGCACTTGTTAGACTTAGAGCTATATCTCTTTACTTACTTGCTGTATGGTTACTATTAGAAAGATATCACGTTTACTGCCCAGGCTCGCTGATCGTACCGTTTCAGGGACAAAGCGTGCTGCACCTCGTATCTCACAGAAATTGCACACCTACTGAACCGCAACACCAGCGGCTTGTTTTAATGAAGCTGAAACTAATATCAATAAAGCAAAGACAATTATTAATTTCTTTATTTGAATACGAATAGTTGTGGTCATATTTCAGCGCGCATAGCTGGATATGTACTCCCCTTTGAACTATATTCAGCTTGATAACGTAAGGTCCAGGTTTCTTTGTTTCTTGCTTAAGCATTTGCTTTTCGGCATCGAATAATGCTTTCATTGGCTGCTCAGATAGAATGCTCGTGAATGCTTCGGACTCCTTGCTCTTCTTTCATAAAAAGTAGTTGTTACCACCACGATTAAATCCCAAACTCCGTTTTTTTTTGTTTTTTTTTTGTTTTTTTTGGGGGGGGGGGCCGGTAAATTTGAAAGTATACTATTCTACCATTGTTTTGTGTGCACCGGGGGGTTTCCCATGTCAAATTGCCCTCCGAGAAGGGGGGAGGGGGAGGGATCGACTTTCTTTGGGGGGATCGCGTTTTAACCACCACTGGTTACCACGCGATCCCTCTCATGCTCCTGGACTCATGCACGCATGCACAAGCCTATGCACATATAGATAGACAAGCGCGCACGCAAGCATCCGGACACAAAGAGCATCAAAACTACCTCCGCCATGCCGAGCGCTCGAGAGGATTGGACGGCACAGCGAGTGGACTGAAGACAGATTCATAATAACACTGTAACACTGTATATTCACTGGAAGGATGAATACGGCAGGGCGACTCTTTCGCACACCCGGCCTCCGGCACTTTCTCAATGCCTCCCGCCACGCGTTTTTTGTTGTTGTTGTTGTTTTTTTGCATTTTGATATAGAAAGAAAAAGCTGAATTGCCCATGAGTGAGATCTATTTATGTACTCATTACTCACGTGTCGGACGGCCTGCTGCGTCAAGTCCCTGGGCTGCAATGCAAGGGTCGTGAAATGGCGTTACATATGCTGCGTGTGACCTTTTGGCGTTTGTTTTTGTGAGTCATTCGTAGTCTTTATAATTAGATACTTGGGTTTCAATGTATGTCTTGATCTATACTTTTTTTGCTAAACTTCTTTTCTAGCTAAGACTGCAAAACTTCGGTAAAAAAAGAAAATCTAAACAAAATCGACCTTCTCTGGAAACGCCAACTCCAGAATAAAATGACGTCCATGATGTCATCTTGAGTTGGAAGGAGCATCGTCAATGATTATTTTTGTCCTGCTGTAGGAGACGTACCGTCGTGTCGTAGGATTTGAAGAGCAGTCAGAAGATGTACAGCCCGGTCTGCAAAATTAAATTCACGTTAAATATATCTGGTTTATTCCAACGCGCATGTGTAATTCACGAGACCCATCATAAAAATTACGAGCCTAATTTGGGGCATGTGGAATTTGTAATGAAATCAATGAGAAAATGTACGGACATCGATAATAGATTCAAAAACATGGTGGCACGGAAGATGCCTTCACACCATTGACTTTTGGGGTCGCAAATATGTTTAATGGGTGACCAGATATTTATATGTGTAATATTTGTTTTGTATCTCACCTTCAACCCTCCGCAACATGTGGTCGAATCGAGCACCTATCGAAAGGAGAAAGACATGTGCTTACGTCATTCAATGACAGCGGCAAGACGCCTGCCACGCACCCCGCAATTATCAGAAAAACGAATAAAAAATAAAAAAAAACAGCGCGAAGACCAGGAAAAAACAAAAAGACACAGCGCTGACTCTCAACTAAAATTCATTCATGTTGGCACCTACTATAAGTGGCAGGCATGTCACCCCCGAAAAAAAACATGGTTTATTTGGGTGATATGGAGGCTATTTATACCAGATAACAACATGATTAAACTTCAGAGTAGAGTCAGCGCTGTGCGCTACCGGTTACCTTTTACATTGTCCTCGATTCGCGCTGTTTTTTTTTTTTTTTTTTATTATGTCTGTATATTATTAGCCCAAACTTTAACGCTAACCAGAAAAAGAACCACTTCAACTTTGTCTGACCTCACTCAATGTCTCAACCTTGTACACTCTCCTAGCCATATTCCATATCTTTGTATTTTAGAACACTCTTTACCTATCATTTAGAAATAGCTCTCTACATTGAAAGTGCCCGCCATAAGGTGTGCCCTCAATAATTGAGGCCCTTGAACTAAAGATGGCCATTGCCTTTTTATACTTCTAGTTCTAGTGAAACGGTGGAAAGAAATAAACTGGCTTAACATAAATTTAGGTTTCCGAGTTCTTTTATTTAGATGTATTGTTTGCGAGATCGGTATCATACCTAAAGTACTTTTTCAAGAATACATGTTTATCTCTCCTATTTCTTAGTAATCACAAACTCATTATCGGTTTTTCGACGTACCTTGACCTCTAAAACATTTTGTAGAAAAGTGTATTTCTTCTAATCTTTTAACGCCATCCAGTGCAACTCAGTATGCATAACTCTTAACGGTAAATCCGCAGGGTGCAAACTTATTTATTCTTATTTAATTTTAAACTACGAATAAAGTTTTGTTTTTACCCCAACCTACCAAAGAGTCATGTTGACTTGAATATTATCATTTAAAAAAAATAGAGAGGAGTTTTCATTGTCCCCAACCTACCGAAAAGTCATGTTGACTTTAATAATATCATTTAAAACAAAATAGAAAGGAGTTTTCATTGAAAATATATTCAGTGATGGATAATTGTAATCCTAATTGCAACGCAAATCGTGAAAAATGGAAATCACAATAGAAAAAACAATACGACGTGTACCATAATAACGTGTGCCACATAATATGAAAAAAATGTATATCGGCTTTCAGGGCGTAGGATTTCTTCACGAACTCACCGAGAACGGTTGGCCTGCCGTCTCCGGAAAACGCAGCCGGAAACGAAAATTTCTTCCTCCACTCTGATTCTAAAAAACAAGGTACCTCCGTGGGTTACATACGGCGGGTTACATGCAGTGTTGCCATTTGGCGGGCGTCATGGATCCTCCAAAACCACATCAGAATTCGTCAGATTATGCTAACATCTAAAAATATCAGCTACATTTTACGCTGTTCAGTGTTTAATTAAAAAAAAAACGGTGAACATTTGTATGACAAAACATGTTATCAATCAAAAAGATTTTAAAAATTCGAGCAGAGCCAGAACAACCAGAAATAAATCCTAAACTGCGATATCTTTTATGCAATTAAAATTTTCAAAAGTCGGTACTCATCTCCTTAAAACAAACTCCACCAACTTCACTGAAAAAAAATAACACTTAAATCAGATGTTTCTATTTTGGTGTCGAAGACATGATTAGTGCGTGTCGAGATGGCAGTAGCGACAAGGAGCGACAAGGAACGACAACGAAACAGCGCATTAATAGTAGCAAGACAAGCGAAATGACTCCTCGTCCTGCGCGCACCTTTCGCTTGTCTTGGAGTTTTTGTGCTCTTTTCCGTTAAAGTTATTGTCTTTAATTAGTATCCCAGTATTGCAGTAGTAAAAGAAAAGCTACTTATACTTGTCAAGCTTTGACAATGCTATTCCTACTATGTTATTGGGCAGCCTGTCGCAGCCTTCAATAGACCTTAGGAAAAGGAATATTTGAAGGCATCAGTTATGCGTTTCAACGGACTACTTTTTTTTTAGTTTTCTAATAGTTCTGAAAATGTAGTTAGTGGCATTTACGAATATGAGTATTGTTGAAAAAAAAGTAAAAGTTTGGGACGGATTCACTGTCGCCTCTTACTCATGGCTGTCCAGTCTAATGATGAGTTAATATTTGTTATGCTGGCTGACTCTTTTTTCGTTGAAATTATTTAAGCTGACGTTATGCGGTGAAGACTGGTAGCGTTCGTTATAAACCGCTTCCAGAAACAACCGCAAATAAAAAAAAGTTAAAAAAATTTCGGACGCTAAAATGGCGTCACTTTCTTCCGCCAAAACAGGCGGAATGAGAAAGAAGACAGCCTTGAGTATGGAGGCCGGCTTGGGCAGGGAACGGGGGGCTCCTCAGTCGGATGCTAGTCAGTGCGCCTGGTAACCAAAATGGGCAACTTTGGGAAGTCCTAACCACCAAGCGATTGTACACGAGCGTTGCGTCAGAGTGCGTCGGAGCACTAGGAAATTCGAGTTCGGGATCGGGTCCATTGATTTTGGGCCGCGGGCTGTCTCAGAGTTGCGAAAATCTCGCATAAGATGGCTCGGCCTGTCAAACCAAACTTCATTGTCCGGTTATCCCAGCCATTTTCTGATGACAGGAGAGTGGAGAGGGGTCGATCCTTGTTCTTACCATACCAATGGGCGCTCTTGGCTTCGACATGTGATCGATCTTCGGATGATGTATATGTTGATCCTGTGGAGAACAGAACAAAATCTAGGCTTGAGCTGGCGTAACAAATACGCTGACGCCGAAGTCACGTTTCCAACGAAAAACCGCCTTCCAGCATACAAGAAGCGCGACATGTCACGTCGAGATTGCTTCCGGGTTGAAATATTCTCTTGGCATCGCCATAGGGTTTGCTTCCCCCATCGATTGTGTGTGCGTGTGCGTGTGCGGTGTGTGTGCTTGTGTGTGTGTGCATGTGCGTGCGTGCGTGCGTGTGAGTGTGCATGTGCGTGGGTGTGTGCGTGTGCGTGCGTGCGTGTGCGTGAGCATGTGCGTGCGTGTGTGCATGTGCGTGCGTGTGCGTGTGTGCGTGCTTGTGCGTTCGTGCGTGCGTTCATGCGTGCGTGCGTGTGTGTGTGTGCGTGCGCTTGCGTGCGTGTGCGTATCTGTGTTGGGAGCCGGGGGGGGGGGGTGCTGTAGCACCTGGGATACCTGCCTGGTCTTTCATGTGGTTTCTAATTTTTATAATCACATAATGCTCTTGTCAAAGGGGTCATACGACTGAC